TTTAATTATACTGATGACGACGTATAATTTTTTTTTTACTTCTTTAAAACGACGCCCTCGAGCAATGGTTGCTTCTAATCGGTTGTCCGCGCAGCGAGTAAATATACATATTTTTTTAATACTTTTTGAAGTCCGTATCCTGTTTGGTCCATAACGACGACGATATAGCTTTCCGCCATCATAATTAATAATATACTCAAAAATGGCAATTATAATTCCAGATAATAACGAAGTAACGAACCGATGTTGGTATAAAGAAACATTATTGTTATACATTTGGAATTGAAAGCAAAGGCGCGAGCACCGTTGGACCCGAACAGATTAAACTCTTAAGGACACCATTCGCTCGGGCAAGCCAAGTTTGTACTGCCGACATAGAGACGACGGACACAAAGTGCATTAAGAATATTAATATTAACTATGACAAAATTTTGTTTTTATTTTAGAGGAGTTGAAGATAATATTTTTTTACTCCAAAATACGTATTTTAAATTTTAACACTACATTTTCTCATTTTATTATATGAAAAGTTCCTTTCATTTTAACCATTAAGTTAAAAGACAACAATAAATAAGTGTTAATGACACCTATTTACAAACTTACATACATTTATGGAAATTGTGAGATGAACTCCTAATTCTGAAATGTAGTTGACAAATATTAAACTGTATACATATATAAATCAGTATATTATGGATATAGGACTATGCGAATGTAGGAAATTTTTCCCCCGGATCACTAGAGTTATTTTTTTTTGGAGGAATCACCTCAAGTCAGCACATTTTAAAAATAATTTAATATCGTTTTTTTTTTCGTTTAAAGTAATATTTTTATATATCTGAAAATATCCTCCTACTATGCGTAGTAAGTCCAGAGTTGGCGTTATTACAGTTAAATTGATTGCAAATTTATAGTCAAGAATAAACAGAAATTATATCATTGCCCCCTACATGTCGCCCCTGTACATTTTTGAAGAAGCATATTTTCCCCACAAGTAGGTAATTTGAGAAAAAGTAATAATATAAATTAAAATAATAATAATATTAATAAGTAGGTAATTATTAAAACGAGTACTTATTGTAAATGTATAACTTAAAAATATATGTATTTAGAGATAAAAAAAAAAGAATCATAAATCAAAGACTTTTTAGAAAATGTAGCATTTTTATGTATAGGAAGAACTAGCCATTTATGTTATTAGTTATTATAATTATATTTTATTTACATAATCTTATCATCTTATCTTATTATATTTTTCAAATGTTTTTACATATTTTTCCTAAGCATAAATATTTTTTTTTAGTTATTTTATTAGTACTTTTTATTGTATAAAAGTGGCAATGATAAATATTAAATTTACATAAAATATACAATATTACCTATCTATATAATTTGTTTTATTTATGGAAATATTTAGAAATTTATTCTATTTAATTTTATTACACATTAAGACATTACGGTGGGAGGGGAATGGATTTTCCATTTACCAGGCAGTATAATGGTACCTACATGGTAGTTTTGTATATAACTATTACCTATCTATGTAATTATAACAAATCTACCGTTCGAAGGACTACATGCAGATAATTTCCTGCAAAGTGGTGACAAAAGTTTAAATTATAAAGAATCATGTCATTATTTACTAGAATTGCGTACTATTATTACTATTTAGTTATTTGTATAAATGCCAATTATCAGTTAATTAAATGATGACGTTAAACAGTTTATCAGTTATCAGTAGCAGATAGAGTAAACACAAATAAATTATATAAGCTCAAGTTTTTCATTAAAACAAATTATTAATTAATTAAGTGTAATTGGTATAATATATTAATGATATTTAGTCTATACTGTAATCCGTATTTTCTTAAACATTAATATGAACTGCTATTTTACTATTATAGCATTTTATTGCGTATTCAGTAGATAAGGCAAATCGCCGTGTGGATAAAACTGCAATAATGAAAAGATTAAAAAAAAGTGTCTTGGAAAAATTTCCCAGAAAATGTAAAATATAGTTCGGGGTTGATGATCGAAGACACACTTGCTATATGTCGATCGGCAATATACTCCGAAATTGAGAGACTCTTCAAATTAAAGGTTTTAGTTTTTAAATGATTATTATAATATCATCATTATGTGCACAGAGAATTAATATTTCATTTTTACGTTTAAGTATACTATACTTTTATATACTGTTGTATACGTAGAGGTGTCGTAAAAGGTATATAATATATATATATAGTTATCGGCCGCTTTAATAACATATATAATAAGACCATAATCGATACTCAATAGACTGCGCGGAAGGAGATGAAACGCGTAGGTACTTATATATAGTTATAAATGATTTATAAAATGATGTTATACCTAAAGTGGTACCTATTATATGTATATATAATATGTTGGCAAGGGAGGTATAACACCAGGTGACTGCAGTGGAGCGCGGGTTGCAGTAAGCCTAAAGCTAAATTCACACTTGATCGATGAAATCAGTACACCCTTATAACGTAGGTATCCTCTACACGTATCGTATACATAGTATATACGTATCCACACATCGTACAGTGTACCTACACTATATCGCACGTCTCGTATATATAAATACCGTGTATATACATGTATTATAAACACGTATACCGCGGTTGGACACCCTCCTCAGGCATAATTCCATTTGGTACGCCAAACATCTGCCATTATCTATTGTTAACAAAAAAAAAAAAATGCCAGTAATTTATGTTGCCGCGTCAATATATATGGCTAGCCGGCTTATTATATTGTATATAATAATTTCAATTGTAAATTAATTAGAGAACACGAGTTTAGACGAACGTCCGTTACTCCGTTCTACATATATAATATTATACATATATAGGTACTTATCACATTGCTATCGATGTATTGTATCTGCGAAACGCTGCACTGTCTGAAAAAAATACATAATATGTATGTATAATATATATTATATATAAATAGGTACCTATGTATAATATATTGTGTGCGTGTGCACAGCAATTAGATAGTGTTGTTATTAACTGTATAAATTCCTATACATATAGGTACACGTATTTATTTCAAAGAGTGTAACCATTGTGAATAGTATAAAGTATATCATACTTATATTACTTATATGGAAATATATTTATATATACTCAGTGTAAGAGATAAGTGTAATATATTGTGTGCTTTTCGGACGGAAATAATAAAAAGTACAAATTATATAAAACATGCGTTAATTGCCAGTCGGCTGGAGAGTTGAATGAAATTTGTGTCTTGTGTGTAAATTCGATAAACATAATATATGAATATAATATAGTACATTTATACATCTGTATAACATCCTATGTTTAAATACATATAGTTATTTACAGTAAAATTGATTGTGTTTTTCACGAGAGGAAGTTTTCAAAACAAATAACGAGACGACACATTTATATATGTACATACACACATACACATACCTACACATGTATATGAGACTAAAGTATATTTTATTAGTTTTTTTTAACCTTTCTTTCACTCTGTTAGTCTGCACTGACGCTCGCGCATAGCACACGAGGCAATAAAAGGGTGTCCGCCCGAAGCGAAGGAGATAATTGGCCGGTGATTTACCACCGACAATATAGTAAGTGCCTGGAAAACAGTGAAACACGTTATAAATAATATAATATATATAGGTATATATGGTACAGACTATAGGCATATTATCCTTAGTAGATGGAGTCTGCGGCCTGTGCGTGCGGGGTTTTAATATTATATATATATTGGTTTTGTGCGGCAGTCTCGTTAAAAATACGTTTTTGTGCAATCCAATATAAATGTTAATATATAATATAGTAGGTATAATATACGAAAATCATTACCACCGTTTCATCCTACAAGTTTTTTTCGCATTTCGATTACAATGAAAACAAAATACTGTAAGGTATAGGTATGGGTCTGCCGTCTGTAATAAGTGACATTATATACGCGTATATAATATACATCATCGCCGTCGGTCGTGTGTGCGAATCTCTCATACATACACGTTCGATGGGATTTTCGATAATATGATATTATATATTTATTCTCTTTTCTCGCAGTTCGCACCATAATGTTTGTGTGTATTAAATATTTGTGTGTGCACTTACTACACAGTACACGGGTTCCTATATAATATATGTATATAAATATATATAATATATATTATGTATATTGTATATTATATTCAACGGCGAAGACACGATATCCATCTGCTAATAATACGAATACAAGCGTAGGCCATTTATCAAATCCGAAACGAGTCGTGCCTGAGTAAATTATAACGGTTGACAGGTAGTTATAATAATAAACCTATAACTGAGGACCGTATATAGTGCCTCTTGCACCTATATACATATTATAATATTATATACCTACACCACGATCGCCACGTATATTACAATTATATACACACAAGCGGGCGCGAGACGACGTGCCAGCCAGCTTCGCGCGAACTTACAGAAACGCACCGGTTATATTATTATATTATAAGCTATATTAATATTGTTATTTTTATCGTTTTAATTTGTATTATTCCGGGCAATTTCTCGGGAGATTTACGATTATGTACGCGCACGTAATATAATAATTACGTGTACCTGTATACGAGAGTGCGGCTTGTGTGTGTAATCTGCCACCCCACGGACAGATAGTTAGAACCAAATTGCGGTTTGAGCGTATTTAACTCGCAGTCGTTATTATTATGCGTACATTATGAATATACCTACAATATGCGAGTAGAATGTCTTCTGGTACACGCCAGACATAATACACATAATATTACCTCGGATTATTATGAATTAAGGTACGGCCCCACTGAACGCGATTTGCGATTTTGCGTTTTGCGATTGCGTTTTGCGTTTTTACGATTTTATCAAAACTATAGAATAGCTATGACATGGCCACACTGTCAGCGTTTCGCGTTTTGCGTTTTACGATATATCGCTTTTAACGCAGATAAATCAAAATAGTTTGTTTTCATGCGATTAATCGCTCTTGAAAAGCCCACGATGTCGGTTGATTCAGAAAAATTAGCTGCAGCAGTTTTTTTAAAAGAACCAATTTGGAACCCTCGCCATGCTGGTCATAGAAGTAGGACCATTATTCAACAGTGTTGGTCTGATCTTAGTAAAGAGATGATTGTAGATGGTAAGTATTTACAATACATGTTATATTACAAAAATAAATACAAAATATAAATTATCCAAGTTCACTTTATTTTAATATTTTATGTATTATGTATATTGGCATATAGCTTTATTTATTAAACACTTACAAGTAAGTATACGTTATATAAACTTATAAGGAATAAATAATTAAATAATATTATAAGCAATATTGCAAACTTTATATAAAAAGTATAGGTACATCGTATATAAGTCATTAGGTACCTATTGGTATTACAATATATTATATAATATTATTTTGATACTTATAGCTTATTGAACATTATACAAATTAAACATTGATTATAAATAAAAACTATTAAAAATTATTATTAATCAATAAAATGTATACATATAGTATGTATAAATTTACTAGAAATTATAAATTATGCTATAATCAATTACACAGTACACTAGTTAAAATAGTTAAGAATAGGTCGATAGGTACTCGATAGAATATTATAGAGATCCGATTGGGAAATTACATTTGAATCAATTGAATAAGCTTACCATATGTAATTATTCTATTTTTAATAATAAAGTCGAAGTTTAATATACGAGCAGTTATTTATAAATTATAATGATTATTCTTGTTTATTTTTGGTTTTAAAATAGTAATACGATTTGATTGAAATTTAAAATTGACGAACAATTACATCGTTGCAGTATATTTTACTATAATTAAATAAGTTTAATAACGAAATAAAGTAAAAAAAAATATGATGAAATGTAATAATACCTAGGTAGGTCCCTATCCTATAGATATTAAATGTTTTAAAATTTAAAAAAATAAATTGATACCTGTGACAAAAGTCAAATAAATATTAAAAAAATGTAATACCTATATCTATATGATATTATTAAAGTTACATTATCTACCTAATGTTAAATATAGTCCATTTGCCAAGGAACTGAACCATACTCACTAATAAAATAGTCGGCGAATATTTCTCTAGTGTCTCTGGCATCTGTACTAAATCTATTATTTCTTCTGCCGTCAGAGATATTAGCAACTTTTTCTTCAGATAAATTTTGAATAATATTTTGCATTGGTTGTTTATTATGCGTTAATACTACATTGTGCAATATGCATACTGCTTTTGTAATTATAATAGCATTTTCAATATTAGTTTCGATGGCTTTATTTAATATTCGCCACTTCGAGGATAGAATACCAAAAGTATTTTCAACTGTGCGCCTTGCCCGAGAAAGTCTGTAATTAAATACTTTTTTTTTATTATTATTTATGAGTTGTTTGCCAGGATATGGTCGTAATATATTAACTAATAATGGAAATGCTTCATCGCCTATGAATGTGTATGGTACTATGATGTTGGTATTTGGAAGTTCTGCATTATTAGGAATATTCAGTTCTTTATTTTGAAGTTTTTTGAAAAATTCTGAATTTTTTAAAACTCCGCCGTCGCTTTCCCTGCCATACGCACCAATGTCAACCATCACAAATTTGTAATTTGCATCAGAAACAGCAAGTAGATGTATAGAAAAAAAATGCTTGTAATTGTAGTACATTGAACCCGAATTTTGTGGCTGATTAATCCTTATATGTTTTCCATCGATGCTTCCAAGGCAATTCGGAAAATTCCAATTTTTATAAAAATCTTTGGAATTTGATTTCCATATATCAACTGTAGGTTCCGGCAAATAAGTAGGTAATAATTTATCCCAAATAGCACTACATGTCTCTACTACAATTTTTGAAATAGTAGTTTTTCCCATTCTAAAAGTGAAAGCTAAGCTTCTAAAACTACAACCAGTAGCCAAAAATCTAAAACATACATTTAAAGGTTAATAGTTTTTGAACTTAAACTAGTTGAACTGATATTATTGCAATTAAAATAATTTGTTTTACAATTAGACATAAGTAGTAACGTAGTTTGAATTAATGTCATGTAGTTCCACTAAAAAAATAAATAAAAACTAGTTATGAGTAAATATTCACGTTTTTCCTTTATTTTTTTATTTTGTTTTCCCCGACTCTTTTGTAGATTACTGAACATTTTTAATGTTTATACTATGGTGAATAAAATAATTTATTTACCTATTACAATCTTTAGCTATAAAAGTTGAAAATGTTATAAATGTTAACTAAAAATCCTTTTTTACTTTTAAATTTGATAAATTTTGTCAAAATTCGAACTTAAGACACTTATAAAAACTATGACTATGTGTGTTATTTTATTATTTTTCAACTGGTATTTTAATAATATCAGGAGCCTTATTGTATTAATTTTTCACGCTTATTGACCAAACAAATGTTATTGGCATTTACAGAAAAAATTTTAATTTAAAATGTCTGCAAACAGCTCAAACGAGTCAAAATATTTTGAAAATGTTATCAAATATAGTAATAAAATAATTGAATAATTGATAATTAATAATCAAATATAGTAATTGATGAAATAAACATATATGGTGTAAATTTCAAGTTTCTACAGTTAATAGTTTTTGAAGTACAACCAAATAAGAAAACACTATTTAAAAAATCGAGTGAATATCCAATGTTGTAAAACTTTGAACTCCACACGATCATAAAAAGATAATTTGACTTTCAGGTAAAAATTTTATTTTGATAAAGGTAGACAAACTTATAATGAGGAATCTTTTATTACATTTTCAAATTTTATATTAAAAAAAAGACAGTTATGTATTTCTAACACAAAATAATGATGTGATTTTTACGTATTTTGTCAAAATTCGAACTTAAAATACTTATAAAAAAAAATTGTGAATTTATTTTTAATATTTTTCAACTTCCATTGTATATAATAGGTATACAATATATTATGGACCTTAATTAAATTTTCAAGATTTTTGACACAACGAATGACATTTTATTGAAATATATATAAAAAAAAAAAACTAAAAAAATCGGAAACTTAAAATTTCCGTAATCAGCTAAAACAAGTCAATACAGATTTTACGTAAAAATTCATGTTTTTCCTTATTTTTTTTTTTGTTTTTAACGGCGCTTTTGAAAACTACTGTGAATTTCCAAGCGTTATTTCGATTACTTATCTGGTACACTGCAGACACATATAAAAAAATAAAAAAACACACATCATCGTACAATCAATACATTCATCGTTTCGTTCAGAATCTAAATTTAAAATTTGATTTATTTTTTTTGGAAAAACTCAAAATACCAGTTGTATATTAAATTTGTGAATCTGATTATAAGTACAATGTTGATAGATATATCGATATTTATGTAATTTTTATTAAATTTACCCAGGTTTTAAAACCGAAATTAGGTACTGATTTTGAAAACTGGTTAAAATTTAAAACTGTTAAAAACCGATATCAAAACTGAAAACGAAATTGGAAAAAATATTTTCGGTTTTCAGCCCTGAATTTACCGATAATTATGATTGATTTTTAAACCGATTTCATGCCCTGGTTTTTAAGAAAATACATATATTTTTAAATAAAATATTTGTGACTGACTATGTGCATTAGCCATTATTTACCTCTTTTCTATGTATAATTTTAGATAGTACATTAGTAATTTTAAAAACTAAATAAATATTTCTAGCGGAGACTCTGAAAGCAAAATGGAAAAATATGAGGGACTATTATCGCGCTGAATTGAAAAAACATCCTTCAGGAAAATCGGGAGCTGGAGCTGAGGATGTTAGTAATTCTACGTGGCCGTTATTTAAATGTTTGTCATATTTACGAAATACAATGCAAACAAGAACTCGTTCCACAAACATTATATCGAATTTCAACTTGTCAGAAGAAGCAGACATTGAGTCAAATTCATCGCATGCATATGATGTGTGCCAGACTCAGGATAATGGTAATTTTACGCAAGATAGTTCGAATATTATTGATGCCGATCTAGATAATACAGACTCCGATGTAAGCAGTCCTACAGGTGGATTAAAAAAAAGAAACTACGATGTACCTCATAGACAGACGGCAGTAAATAATTTTAGACGAGAATTATTAAATATGGAAGCTAAAAAACTTAAACTTTTAGAAAACGAAGAAAAAGAAGATGAGGATTTGTTATTTTTAAAAAGTTTATTGCCTGATCTAAAAAAATTATCGCAAACACAGAAAATGAGGACCAAAATTAAATTTCAAGAGATTTTACTTCAAGAAACTTTAAATTTACTACAATCAACACCAACGACAAATCAAACAACCGTGGTCAGCAGTTTTCCATATAGCGCCCAATGGCATATAAATAATGAGGGAACACAAACTTTCGAAACTAATTTTTCTTAAAGTTTTTTTTTTTAATGTTGATTATTTAAAATAATTTAAGTTATTTTATAGCAAGACGCTAATTAATTGTTTTTGAAAATTTTTTTTTTAATTTTGATTTTCTAAAATTATTTAAGTTTTTGTTATTACAAGACGCTTCACATAATAAGTAATTTAATATGATTATAACTTTTTAAAGTCAATTTTATTGAAGTTAATTCATTTTTTTTTCATTTACTATTACATATTTGATACCTATTAGGTATATTCTTATTACATTTGTAATCAACTGTCATAATTTAATTATATTTATATTTTTTTTATGTAGCCTACATTTAATATTAATTTACTTATTGTTTTAATATATGACCAAGTTGGTTTTGAACATGTTTTGATACTCGTTTTAATTATTTAGAATTATAAGTAAAAAAAATGTAGGTTTTAATTTGATATTTACTTACCTCAGAGTAACTAAAAGCCTCTCTTCTGATGATATAGGCTTTCGGAAATTTGTTTCTGATTTCTGTATAGTATCTTTAATAGCATCAAGTACTATGTTGAAAGTTTCTTCATCCATACGGCAGTACTCAAAAAACTTGTCTGGGTGTTTTTTTAGTTTAGAAAAAAGAGTATGATATTCACCTTCTTTTTCTCTATTAGTATTTAATTCGTGTACCCATAAACGTTCTTTAAACATTTCAACTTTTGCTTCTATTGAAGCAGAACTTTCGGACAAAAGTATTTTACGCACGCGGTTTGAATTGAACGAAGTCATCTTGGCGATTAAAACCATTCGCCACAAAACAGTAAAAACGCGGGACTGGCCCCACCAAAATCGTAAAAATCGCTGGAAAATATCGCTCGCATAATCGCTCGCATCGCAAATCGCGTTCAGTGGGGCCGTACCTTTATGATATATGGCTAATCGGTCGTGTCTATGCGAGTCGAGCGATTTGCAAACGACCGGTTTTCGTGATGACAACAAACTGTTATCAATATACATCATTTTATCGACGTTCAAAAAGTATATCATTAGCTCTTTAACCGGATTACTGTGTTTAAAAATAGTCGTTACGCATAATCAATACTGGCCACAAAGATAATTTATCTACATTATTGTGTTCCAATTATACAATATTATTATGCCATTTATTAGTCTGATGTCCATTAAATTGACTGACCAATATCGTGGTTTTCTAACCGGGCAGCCACTATTTTTTCCAGCCTATTATCGTGTGAGAAATATTGGTGTAAAAATCTGACATAGTTTTATTCAATGTGTGACTGTGCAAGGAAAATGTGACTAGTAAATCCGATGGGGTCAATAGGGAATCTTTAAATTCACAGTATTATAAATTATATTATATGCTACATGCCTTAAATGTAATTCGATGAGTGCACCCCATGTTCACATGTTTTGTTAAATTTTATAAACTCCAACCACAAATGAAATTACATTAAGGTGATGCTGTACATTTTTAGAGTTTCGTGGGGTAAAACGGGCTGTATTTCATGAACCATAAAAGTTAGAAAGTTGAAATTTCCCAGATTAAGTATTTCTGTGGCCACTATAACAACAAATACTAAAAATCCTAGAATATAATATAATATAAGCAGTGTTGCCAACATGTTTATAGATGATGGTACGAAACCCTTCGTGAATCGTGGGCGAGTCCTACTCGCACTTGGACGGTTTTTTTTTAGAACTTGTGTATGTTATTTTTTTAAAAAACTGTTAATCAAAATGTTTAATTATGTTTCAGTTATTTAAAAACTTTAACAACATATAAGTCACATAAGTATTCTTATGATAAATAGGTACACTAATACAGTCGTACAAATTATTTCTTTACTACCTATTATTATTATTAATAATTGTATAGTCTATTATTTTTTTTTCACACTTAACTAAATAACATTTTACTCAGTTTGAAAAAAATAATTAATTAAAGAATAACAAAAAAATATTTGACTCGTATATTATAAAATATAGGTACTATTGTGTTAATATTTTTAAATGATTGATATAGTTGATACCAGAGATATATACCAACTATGATGAAGTTTTCCCTTTGTTGTTAAACTTTTATTATAAAGCATGACGAGTCACGAGTATTAAATATAGACCGTTTGACATATTTTTTTATGTCGCAAACATTGAATTATAGTAATATTATTGTTTATAAAACCGTTATAAAAACCAAGAGTTAGAAAACGCAAAATATAAAAAGCTGTGTGGATTGATAAAAATTGGTAATAAATCAAGTTTTTTTTTTAATTCAAGGCGTTTATATTTCTTTGTTACATTGTATCTAAAATACACTTCTATACACAACCTAATAGTAAATGCCGTTTAAACGAAATTCTTCTTCTTTATTTCTGAAAATGTTGATACCAAAGACTAAAAGTCGATTTAAAATTTTTTTTTTTTGGACACAAAACAGCCAACACTGACTTTTAGTTATAGTTTATAAACTATATTGTACCTAATAAACAATAATTGTAAATGGGATTAGTATTATGAATTGTGATGCAAAACTCGATCGCATCATACTGAGTCTCGTATTTTATCATATACCTGTGTTATAGAATATAGATCTTGTAAATCCATTAGATTTCAGATAAATAATATCAGTATATAATATAGACATAATAATATATTGTAGTGTTCGTTTTTAGTCTTGAGCGGAATTAAACCATATAAGGTAACAAAAAAAACCATGAATGTGTATTGATCGACAACTTACATCGACCTTATACTGCTGCAGGTGTGAAGTTGTAAAAGACGATAACATTAATGAAAATAAATAGAGTTATCGGACAACAGTAAAACTTGTATAATATAAGCATTAAGCATATATACTTACATACGCGTGACCAGGAAAGCGATTACTCGACGACGACGGCCTAACCATTGATTGTAGTTATAGGAAGTGGAAATCCCTAGCGCAGAGGGGAAAACGGATGACAGATTGACTCGTACGAAGCGGCTGTTCTTCCATATAATAGTAAGAACAACCGGGCAAGGACAACAACAGCTCCGATTAAACTGTCATTCCTATGTAGCCGAGTCTGAATATACGTTTTGCAAAAAGTATAGACTACGTGTGATTCGTATAAAATATAATATTGCATATAATATTATATGAAGAAAGAGGATGGGCTGCAATAATCATGCAGGGTTTAGCACTGCACTTTCACACTGATCGACATCACATTTTTTATACACTCACGATTTGATTTATTTGGTATTTTTGATAAATCGGTTATTTAATTCTAAATTCTATTAAAGACTATAAATTGAACAAAGAGATTGTTTGAAAAAAATCTAATTATATGTTTAAATTGTAAAGGGAATTTTGTATTACTTAATCTTTATAATTTAATTTATTATATTTGACTAAATAGTAAATACTATTGCACGTATCGTAAATTTAATGTGATTCGCCACGGGGAAGTCATAACAACATTTCAATAACATTTAGATTTTAGATAGTGCCTTAATTATATTTTTAATGCATCAAAAAGATCGGTTAATTTATTTAAAATTTTTACCTGATATATTATAATAAACGACATTGATATAATACATAGGTACCTTCCTAGTGCCTATATTATGTATAAGTAATATACTTAGATACATAATATATGTAAAAACGTATACCTAATGTATATGTTATATTTAGCTGGTCTATACAATTGCTTGAATAAAATTATGTTTTTGATTAGGGGTTTTTTATCCAATCATAGATACCTTTACTATTATTATTACTATTACTATTACTATTTACTATTACTATTAATGGTATATCTCCACCGAATAAAGAAATTATTATGATGTGTTTAGTTTACTGAAAATATAGTTATTTTATTTGTTATTATTATTTATTAATCGAAATCATTGAAGTTAATTCGATAAATGGAAGAAAAGGTGTTTCAATTTCGTGAGTGTAAAATATTTTTATATAATAACATATCAAGTCATCGCAGTTCGACGTTGTCTTTAAACGGCTTTTATATACATGAATTATATTATCATTGGCACGTTTACTAATGATTTTAATTATATTTTCTTGTCGATGATTGAGTATGTGTGCAAAACAAGAAACGCGCAGGTTGTTTTATGTACAGCAATACAGCATAGAATCTATGAGGATAGTATAGGTACCTATATAATTTCAAAATTACCAGTTTAAAAAATTATAATGTTCTCGATAAAATCATCGTGTATTATACAGCCCAAAATTGTTTATATAGTTACAGTACATACAACACTGGACGCTCTAGTACCTATATTATATACGTGATACGTCCTACACTACTATAAATGTATATTATTACACTTTCACATGATGTAGGTATGAAGCGCACCTCGCACGCACGCAAAATGGTGAAAAATAATATACATTTCGGGAGCAATTTTTTTCCAAAGAATGGCAACACGCGTCGACACTGATTTGTTACACAGAACACATTTAAATCGGAGGAAGATCTTGTAGAAAAATGTTTAATTTTGATCGGCAAGTACGTTTTTCGAGTTTTGACGTGCTACATATTTTTGATATCACTACACGTTTGAAAACTTTCCAAAATGCTAAACGTGCACACGCCACACAGCCTTATTAGCGTCAGTCTTGGACATAAGTTAATACGACAATAATTACATCAACACTTAAGGCTTTAAGTAGTGACATGCAATAGTCTCTCTCACACAGCCGCCGTGTATTTTTCTATATTCGTGTATAAGAAAGCATAAAAAAGTCCCAGATAAATTGTATGAAAATACTCACAATATACTAATTTAGTTACAATGTATTGAGTTTTGACTAAAGCAAATTTGGAGAATTATTTAAAAACATATTTTGTTGTTAATTTAAACATTGAATTGACTGTAATTTGTTGGTTGTTGCTTTTTCGTAACAATGCTATAGATACAACTAGGCCATGGTTTATACCTAGTACCTACCTACTAATAATATGTAGGTATCCATTATACCTACTATAGGCCGTATGGCGTACCT